TGGGGAGCCCAAGTGCTTACACCCTGGCTAGGAACAAAAATTGCAAGCACCAATCACTCTAGTGCAATGAGAGGGCGTTGCCTTGGGCAGCTGTTCCTCATGGCTGGGCACCTCTCAGTCCTTTGACAGAGCTCTCCCAAGTGCACTCTGCCCAAAGAAATGCAACTGAGAGATGATAAATAAACACGTTACAAACTACTTGAGAACAATTTACATCCAAAAAGCTCAATATCCGTATTATATATTATCTGCTTCCAGGCAATATCCCTCTTCAGGTTTAATTAATTTGCATATTGATTTTAAAAAAGTTTATTTCATTAATTAACTGTCCTTCATTACTGTTCTTTTATTCAAGGAGGTTTTGATTTTCATATCAAAAATAATTCTGTTTAGGAATATTGTCTCATATAGTGCAGAAAAGTGTTTGAAATTTGCATTTTACTTGGCCTTCAACAAGTTGGCATCTATTTGTAAAACTTTCTTTAACTATAACAAGCCAATTTATAAACAAAATGTTCATTTAAAATTTTTGTTTCAAAGATTTCAATTAGTGAATATATCTTACTTTGCAAAGTGATAGTGAGCAAGTTAAGCCTGCTAGTTTTATATAAAATTAAAAATATTGGAGCTATATTTTAAGCATACCTGTTTGTTAAGTAACAAATACATATGTACATTCTAGATAGAATATAATCTTAAGTTATGAGTTTATTGACTAATCTACTTAGAAAGCCATTTTAAGCATACCTGTTGGAATTTGATATGTGATACATACGTGGGTGATCATGTATCTTTCGATATGTGACTGACGAAGCAGATGTTTTCCTGCAGTAGGTTACCATTTCTATCTGTGGTAGACTGGTTGCCAACCAAGGCTAAAGAAGCCAGTCTGTCCTGCTATTCAACCTATAGCTGGGACGAGAAGAGATGGCTTCAGACCTATCCTAAGGATATTTGTGCATAAGTGAATCTAACTAACTCGACTGGAATTTGAACTCAGTTGTCTGAGTTCTGACATGGAGCTGATATCCATTACATCACAACACACATGGAGTTTGATGATAAGTAAGCTTATCATTGCTAGTTTAGGAACTTAATTGAGGCATTGTGTTCCAGTGTATCAGACTAACTAGTAAATATGTACATGTCATTCTTAAGTGGCTGAATTTTAATCAAATTTTGTTTTTATTTGAAAGTGAGTAGCAAAATAATTTTATATTTACTAATATTTCAATTTAATATGATTGAGTTAAATATGCTACTTTTGTTTGTCACCTGTTTTACTCTGTTTTTCTCTCTCTCTCTCTTTTCTGACTATCCATTCTTTAATTAGCCTTTTATTTTCATTTGTGTGCATTCTCATCACTGCTTTTTATTAACCAGTTGTCTCTTAAATGTATGTCCCTCATTGCTGTTTATCACCTTTTTAGGATTATTAGACTCTATCTGGTGCCTATTTCTGTTCATTATCTTACTTTAAAACCTTTATTAATTATTGTTTGTGGATCACTTGTGAGTGAGATGTGTTGTTGAGCTGAGTGAAAGTGAGAAATTTGTTAGAACATGTCAAGACATGGTACTTGTTGATAGAAACATGTTCTTTCTTGAAAATGTCAGCTCAGGCTCAGCTAAATGCCACACGAAGAATTCTTCTAAGATTAACAAACATAACAGCTTTACGAATAATTAGGATTTTGTTTTTATAGGGAGGACTTAGGCATATGAATACTATGTGCAGTTATATAATTATATTTAATTAGCATCAAAGAAGTTGTATTTAAAATCATTTTAGACTTTTTTTTAGTTGAGCTTTGGATATTTTTTTTAAACTTGGATTATAATTCAGTTTTGGTAAGCTATAGTTATAAAGGTATTCTCTACATCCTTTCAAAAATGTGTGCATTTGACTTCTGTGAAATAATTATGTTGAATCTGGACTTTATACATGTTTTTACTATTATTTAAACTGTCCTTATGTTTTGATAATAGTTTTCTTTTTTTTATCTTGCATATAGTTTAGATTGTTAGACTGAAGAATTGTTTTTTTTTGCTCTGGTTTTAAATGATTCTTCATAGTATTGAGTTTCACCAGCCTTTCACTTGTGAAAGAGTGAGAAAGATTTTATGCCTACTTCTCCTCCAAAGTTAATTTTTATTACTTATTTACAATAGGAATTAACAAAAAAATCTATTTTAAAGGTGGGGAGTACTAGTGGAAGAGGAAGAAATTGATCCTAGGATTATATATTTTTATTTGATATATATAATTAAAATTCAGATATAAGTATATTTGTAAAGACAATATAAATAAAAGAAAAGATGAGAAAAATCTTTTATGCTAAATCATAAAATGACAACATGCTGGTATAAAAGGTATTCCTCTTGTTTTTTCTTTTACATGCATGTGCACATACACAGGTTTTAGAAGATTTGTGCATTCTCTATTAGTGTTGAATCAGTGAATCAGCCTAATTTTTCTTTTGAATTCCAAAAATAAATTTTAGTGAGAGAAAATGTAAAACTGTATAAGTTAAATACAATTTTGTATTTTCTTTTTCTTTATTTTTTTTTTTGGGGGGGGCATCTAATTTACAACTGAATGTTTTTGTTTTGAGACTCTAAAGAGTTGTAGAAACCTTCCTTTTTGTAAAGGAACAAGCTTTATAGAATGTCATTTTACAATATTAGAAACAATTGATTGAACCAATTTTATGAGGGTAGATTTTGTGCAAAATACATAAAACTTTTAAATGTCAGCATGTGTATAATATATCTTTCATGAAGAAAAATGTTGCTTTTTTTATCCCACAAAATCTGTTAGATCATGTATTTATGTAATGTTAAATGTTGAATAAAATATTCATCATTTTGTAACCTGATTTTTTTCAATCTCTTCAACTTTTACTATTGTAGTCTTTTACTCTTTAGTTTCTGTTTGAAATGAAAGTTTATATTGAGACACTTTGCTGGAAATGAGCAATATTAATCTGCACATTTTATTTCATGGTTTTTAATTACGTATATGTTTTGCTCTATATGGCAATATGTAGAGCTTAAAATGATTTGTTTTTTTTTTAACTGATCCTATAAAAAACATAAGCTACAGTGTATTGAAAGAATTTTGCATTAGCCTTTTGAAATAAAACTCAAATGAATTTGATTTTTTACTTGTTTATTCCTTTTTAATCCATGATTTAACGACTACTAGGTTAAATATTGATAGCATATGCAAAGGTACAAATGTCAATAATGAATTCAAAAAGTGCTTTTTATCGTAACTCTGCTATCTTGTGGAAACTTTTTGGAAGTTTTTTTTGTAAATTAAAGGTTTTCTATTTTTTTCTGATTCTTATTTACTGCTTTGTGTTTGGCAGTTTCAAACCTGCTGTAAAATTCAGCAGAAAAATTTATCATAAATTGAACAAATATTTTAAGGAAGTAACTTAAAAATTAAGTTACAGCCTTTAGATATTTATTGTGTTTGTTACTCATTTTATATCTATATCAAGTGTTTGTTACTTTCAGTACATAGCCCTTCATTCTTTTATTTACAATATTTCAACAATAATACTCTAATTTACACATGCACACACATAGAGGATTAATACAAATATAAAATTTGTCAGCTGATTGATATTACCTTCAGCATCCCATCTAGTTTCATAGATACACCCTCCAGATATATAAAACATCAAAGTGGAAAAAGTTTTTGTGCCTGTGACTTGTTTCATCATTTAGGACTTCAACAGACTAAAGGATGAAATGTGTCACACAAAAACTGTTTCCACTGTCATAATTTTTCAAATAGAATTGTTCTTCATATATAAAAATTTATATACCCATTTTCTATATATGCATGATACATAAATACATAGGATGGTAGACATAAATTTACACTGTTTAAAAAAATGGATGTCTACTCAAATGTGTGTATTCATTGAATATAACATTTAAAGTAATAAGAAATAATGTCAGATCATAAATAAAATCCATTAACTACTTAGAAATTATTCTGCTTACATTTTGAATATGAAAATAAAAGTTAGCAGATATGGGCTTCAAGAGATCTGAATAAGAGATTTCTTAAATAGGGTAATTGAACTATGTTTGACTGAAAGCTTTCTATGGTTGAGCAGTCTAAAGGTTGCCAGGCTTAATGGTTATTTCCTTTGCAAGGGAGATGCAGGTTTGAACCCAGCTGAGTGGAAGGCACATTTTTTTTACTGACTCTTCAAACACATGTATCCACTACATATAAGATTTAAAGTAATAAAATATATAGAGTTGATGCAGTTGTCATTAGAAAGAGTTGCAAGTGTATCTAAGTACATAAGAGAACAAAGATTATTATTTAAGGATATATGACTTGTTTAAAAAAATCTCTGCAACATTTATACTATTTGAATGACGTTTTTTCTGTATATATTGATTTTTAATACTTTTGACAAAATAGTATTCTATACTATAAAAATTATAAAAATTTATTTTTGGAACATTATAAAATTACTTATCAAAGACTTCAATAAATGTTTAAAATTTTAATATTTATGGATTTTGTTTAATTAATCCAAACTGTTATCAGAATTGATACTTTTTGAATGATATTTTATCTGGTTATCACAATGTGTGGTTTAGTATGCATATACTTTTTAATATCAAATTGCTTTTAACCTCCTAAGAAACAAGAGATCATTTTTAATCAGTCAAAAATTTAATGTCTGAAAGAATTGCACTACATAATAGAACAATAATAGAAAGTCTATGTATGATATCTACATTCATATTTTTGTCTAAATACATATCAGTTTTACTTTTAAGATTTTATTTAATTGAAATGTATATTGTGTTATAACGTGATTACTAATATATAGTACATTAAAGAAATGAATTGATTGTATTTTGGTAAGTAGATATATATTCATATAGGAAAATAAATATATTGTCAGAATTATTTAATATTATCTGTTGTGTCACATGGATACTAATATTAAGAAGGCTTATGGCCAAATTGTGCTGAAACACTGGCTCTTGTATGATCACAAAAGTTAAGCAACATTGAGCCTGGTCACTACCTAGATGGGTGACTACTTGGGAATATCAGGGGCTATAAGCTTGGGTGTGCTGATGGTGAAATGGATAACAGCTCAAAATTGGAAATTGGAGAGCTGAGTTCCAGTAAGGTTTGTTATATTCACTTATGCACAAATACTCTTGGGAAAGGTATGAATCCACCTCTTCTCCCTCAAGTTATGGGTTAATTAGTAGGAATTTTATCAGTAAAGCATGATCATCTCCAAAAATTCTTACAATCTAAAAAAAAATATTTTCTGGCTTTAAATAACCTGTAAATGGTTGATAAATTTTAGAAAACAAATCAATCAATCAAACAGCAAATATAAAAAAAATAAATGGTCTCTTGGAGTAAAGTATTCTTATCAAGGACATGTTAAACAATTGACCTCTTGAGATCTTGCTTATAAGCTATTTTGTTATTTGTTACTTTTTGCATTATACTACTTTACTCTTTAATTATCAACTTTAAGTTAATTATATAGTTTTCTGCTCTATATTAGATTAGCAGATGTAGGCTTTGTGAAATATGTAAACTTAAATGTTCTGTATTAAATTCACTTTTGGACAATACAGTTATTTCTACACGAGTTACATGTCTAATTATGAAAACTATTGAAACATACCTTTTATGTAGGTACTTGCAATTGAAAAATAACCTTAATTGTGTCCTCGTATTTTTAAATGTATTCTTTTATTTATACAATCAAAATAGCAAGCAATTGGTTGCAAGCAGGAGTTTCTGATTTTAAAAGCCTACAGATATTTGGAATATGGGGCTTATCATTTGGAGTTAATTTTCTTTTCCCTATAATTAGACATTTTTGTAGACAAAATAGGCTGATGGATTTGTGAGGAGAATTTTTTTTTTTCAATCGAAAATAAATTGAACATTATTGCTATTATTTTTGTTTTCTTTCCAGGGTTTTACATATGGAAATATTTCTATATTTTAGTTCTTAAAATTCTTACTAAAATTATTTCAACAGGAAAAACAACTGCCTTCCCAATTTCTTTTTGTTTCTACTCCATTTCATTTCTTGTTCCATTGTAATGTGGATGTTGGAGTGTTTAAACTTGTTTGCTTGATTTCAGTGAATTGAAAGATAGTTTGGCCAGTGATGCCATTGAAGGTGATATTCCAGATTTATTGAAAATGGTTTTAAGACAAGATCCCAATGTTTTTCATTCTACTACTACTACTACTAGAAGAAGTTATGATGGTAAGAGTTAATTTGATATTAATCATTTTAAATGTATTTTGTTATATTTTCTGTTAGAACATGACAACAATCTTGTATGCTGATTCCTTTCCTTGCTTTATTGTTGTATCTGCACAATATTTTTTTTATAATTGTGTTTTTATATACATGAATTTTGACAAAAGATCATGTACAAAATCACCCTTGTATATAGGTTTTGTGCTTATTTATAAGTGTGTGTGTATATATATATGCATGTGCACCCACATGCACATACATACATACATACATACATCTAGAGTATGTCATGTTCTAATTTAGTTATTTGGTCTTATTTTGCATCTTGCTAAGATTCCTTTATTTTCAAGAGAATATTCAACCTGTTCTTTTTTTTTTCTGTGGTCTTATTTGGAAATTTCTATTTAGAATACAAATCTTGGTTTTGTTAGTCTTTCAGTAATAACTCTTAAAGGGCTTTCATAAAACAACACCTTATGAGTAAAAATGTGTTTTCATTAGATTACAAATGATTCATAAAATATTCTTGATAAATTTTTCATCAAACATTTCATTATGCCACATTAGACATTTCCAAATCAATTCATAATTTGAAAATTCAGAATTTAAGTTTACTTACACTTCTAAATAACTTTAAAAAAAAAAGTAATCTGAGTGAGCAGATAATAAAATTATTCTATCATAAATGCACTTTAACATTTTTTGTAGTTATTAAAATATTGAAAATTTTATAATTCTATGAATATTTGTGATGATTTCAAATGGAGGCTTGATTTGTAGTTTTTTAATGTTTTATTATGAAATTGGCAGAAATTTATTTTCATAGTTGATTTCTTCATCATTTGATAAGATCAATTAAATATCACTTGTCTAAGATCTTGCTAACTCATGAATTTGAGAAAATGGCTATAATAATAAAAAATCTATTCAATCTAAGATCTAAAGCAAAGAACAATCTTAAAAAAATCCTAACAGAGCCAAATTCTGAAATCTTTTCAAACAAAAATTTCACTTTTGTGAAGGAACTCAATTGAATTCATAATCATCATTTATTTAGTTAGTGCATTTTGCACTGCTGTGGTCACCACTTCCCTCCATCTCACAATTATGGTTCATGATACCATTCAAGACAAAGTAATGCAATGGCTTGCCAGTTCCTTTTGCAGCAGGGATGTTGAGGTTACCCTGACCCTCCTCTCAGAAGTTAAAGAGGCAGAACTTACAATGCAGCAGGTGGTTTGAATTCAGTTTTACTTCTCCTAGACTGGTTGCCAATCAAGTCTATAGAGCTCAGTTTGTCATGCTATGTACCCATAGCTGGGGAGAAGAGATGGATTCATATCGTTCCCAAAGGTATTAGCATGTAAGTAAATGCAATGAATTTGACTGAAATTTGAACTCGGCTTGCCGATTCCTCAATCTGAGCCGCTATCCGTTACTCTGCCACACCTCTTGAATTCATTATATTATGCCAAAAATAATAATTCTATTTTTTTTTTTTTAATTTCATTATTATTTATACATTTTTCTTTAATTAAAAGAATAATGTATTTAGTAGAGAGATACCATTTATTCTTATTCACTTTTATGCTTAATGGTTATATTTATAACAAATTTTTTGATATTTTCAATTAAGAAACAAGTACAGAAAAAATATCTTAAAAATTACTTTTCGCATTCACTTCTCAATAAACATTGTATGAAATTAATGGGAATCTTTAAGGGCTTGGAAGAAAGGAGTTGTCAGAAATTTTCCTTTAGTTTAGTTGGGCATGAGTTGGACTTATTTTATTCTGACTGACTTTATCCAGAGTTACCTGCTCTGTTAAAAAGTATATTTGCTAATAGGCTATTTTGAAATTAGATAAATTAAGGACAAGTTTATATTTTAATAGTAAAACTAACCTCAATTGTTATGCAATATCTGTTTTTGTTAAGTTATATTTTAAAAAAAGTATTAACATTTATTGATGCTTGATTTTAATAATCAATAATTTAAAATGACATCAAGTGGTTACATAATTTATTGATAGATTTGATCATTGATATTTAAAAGCTAATATAATTACATTATTTTTGATGGAGCTTAAATGAACTGAGCCCTTTAAGAGATTGTCTTTTGTCTAAATGGTTTATGAAAAGTGGCTTATTTGATATTAAGTCTGTGTAGTCTTGGAGCTTTGTCCTGCTTTTGTAGTCCTTATTTTTTTGTTTGTCATTCAATTTTTTGTTGGGTTATTGTTGCCTATTGCTGATCTTGTGTTCCCAATCTTTATCGTTACTGCTTTGTCATTTTGCATGTCAATTTAGTGTGCTTTTTTTGTCTGTTAGTCTCCATGTATATATGTATGGATGTGTGCATGCATGTATGTTTATCTGTGGGTTTGTGTTTGTGTATGTATCTATATGTTTGTGTATGAGAGAGAATGATCAATTTTTTCTGATTACTCATATTGTATGCTTTTCTCTGCTTTTCATCTAAATAGAAATAAACTAGATCTCTTTTTTTTCCATCTTTGTTTTTTTGGATCCTTGTTCTTTGCTACTTGATGTCTTTGTCAATATATGCTTTGACATTTTCAACATGTTCACATACACACTCTCACACACACATACACACACACACAAATAAACTATATGGTTTGTTATTTAGATTTTACTATTTTTACTGGTAGACTTGTGTATCAATATTTTGATATATTCTCTTGCTCTCTTCAGAAGTTATGGTATGGGTGAGTAACCATATGTTTTTTTTTTGATAAGATAATGTATCAATTCAAATGTAACTCAATTAGGATATTAAATTGAACAATTGAATAGAAAAGCTTGCTGGATTTATTCTAGTTTATTTTGATTTAAAGTCATTTGTTTTACTATTATCTATTGAAAGAGTGTTAAAAAATATAAAAATGTTATGCTTTGAATACCAAGTATACTCATTTTTATATATATATATATATTTATATTAATCTAGTTGTTCATCTGATTCTAATTGTTTGTGCCATATATTTTTTTTATCTATATCACTACTACTTTCCTGTTCAATAACATACTATATTTTTACTAATAATTATTTTTAGTATTATTTCTAAATGGCAATGTTTGATTGTTAGATACAAAAGTAACAATAAGTTTATTTTCAAACATATTTATTATATATATTAGTATTAGTTATTTTCATGTATATTCGAATAAAATGCTTGAATTCAGTTTGTATTATTTATAATCAGTTTGACTAAATCAAATCACCTATATATGTTATTAAAATGCTAAACTATTTTTTCTCATTCTTTAATCCCTTGCATCTTAGTGGCTTTGTTGCCTTTCTTGGGGTGAAATGATTATAAAAAAAAAAAAAACAACCTAATCTTATGATTGCAATTAGGCATGAATCCGAATCTACTTTTGCTGATAATTTAACATTTTCTAATGTTATTGAAATATTTACTATATCTTTTTACACAGTTATTTTGGATAATTAGTGCTAAGTATTAGTGTAATTATGGCAATGATGAAAAACTATTCATTTAAGTTGTTAGAGATTATTATTTCTGTTAAACTTCCATTTACTGTAACAACATTATTACTGTAAATATATTTTAAAAGAATTTTATTCAAAATGATACAATAACACAATGTACAACATTGTACATAAATTCCAAATAAGTAAAATAATCCTTTAACTTTCAGAGGTTGTACAATTTTGTACTTTACACATACTACTTGTATTTCTTAACACCTCTGAAAAGTTATAGATTCAATGTTTTCATTATTGGTTTAATAGTCTTGTCTAAACAACTTGAGAAGTTTGAATAAAA